TAGATCTCTCACCCATCACAGTATTACATCCGTGACTAGATCTCCAACCATCACAGTATTACACCCGTTACTAGATCTCTCACCCATCACATTATTACACCCGTGACTAGATCTCTCACCCATCACAATATTACACCCGTGACTAGACCTCCCACCCATCACAGTATAACACCCGTGACTAGACCTCCCACCCATCACAGTATAACACCCGTGACTAGATCTCCACCCATCACAGTATAACACCCGTGACTAGATCTCCGCCCATCACAGTATAACACCCGTGACTAGATCTCCAACCCATCACAGTATAACACCCGTGACTAGATCTCCAACCCATCACAGTATAACACCCGTGACTAGATCTCCAACCCATCACAGTATAACACCCGTGACTAGATCTCCAACCCATCACAGTATAACACCCGTGACTAGATCTCCACCCATAACAGTATTACACCCGTGACTAGATCTCCACCCATAACGGTATTACACCCGTGACTAGATCTCCACCCATCACAGTATTACACCCGTTACTAGATCTCCCGCCCATCACAGTATAACACCCGTGACTAGATCTCCCGCCCATCACAGCATAACACCCGTGACTAGATCTCCACCCATCACAATATAACACCCGTGACTAGATCTCCACCCATCACAGTATAACACCCGTGACTAGATCTCCACCCATAACGGTATTACACCCGTGACTAGATCTCCACCCATCACAGTATAACACCCGTGACTAGATCTCCCACCCATCACGGTATTACACCCGTGACTAGATCTCCCGCCCATCACAGTATAACACCCGTGACTAGATCTCCACCCATCACAGTATAACACCCGTGACTAGATCTCCACCCATCACAGTATAACACCCGTGACTAGATCTCCACCCATAACAGTATTACACCCGTGACTAGATCTCCACCCATCAGAGTATAACACCCGTGACTAGATCTCCCACCCATCACGGTATTACACCCGTGACTAGATCTCCACCCATCACAGTATTACACCCGTGACTAGATCTCCACCCATCACAGTATTACACCGTGGGTATATTCCCCCCACACACACACACACACACACACACACACACACACCACCACCACCACAATATCACACCTGTGAGTATATCCTCCACCACCACGGTATCACACGTGTGAGTATACCCCCACCCCACCCCATACTACACCTGAGACAAGATCCCCCACCCAGGTTGACCGAAGCTCGCACGGTACAGCACACTTAGTGACGATGTTCACTCCCATGTATGTCCTCCGTGACCCTCGCCACCGGGCTGTGTTCCGTCTCTCGTAAAACTAAACCCAATCCAGCTCCATGGGATACGGTGACAACGTCCCACACAGGCCCTCTACATTCCAGGAATACATGCAATAGCTCATACTCAGCCTCCACTGCCGAGCGATAACAAACAGCCGTGTTAAACTTTATAAGAAACCACAAAATCCTTAAGGCTTCATGCTTCTGTAATATCAAGCTTCCGCTTTCTAATTGGCAGGATTATAAGTGTAGTCGGTGTTTTCTACATTCAGTTCGACATTGTATAATGATATCGGCGTTTTTCTGTTCTTTTGCTAAATGACAAACTGTGTGCTGTGAAAAATAATGTTTTGCTCATTCCGTCGTCATTCTAACACATTTGTTTTTATCGTGTGCATATCGTGACTATCTTCAGAATAATCAAGGGGCGGTAAGATAGCCTAGTGGTTAACGTTCCTCGTCACGCCGATGACCCGGGTTCAATTCCCCACATGGGCACATTGTCTGAAGCCCGTTTCTGGTTTCCCCGCCGTGATATTGCTGGAATATTGCTAAAAGCGGCAAAAAACCATACTCACTCACCCAGAATAATCGTGACATGGGTATCTGGTTGTCTATACGTGCCCATGTCCGTTAGCTGGCTTGAGTAAAAACATGCTGTATGTGAAATGTGCCTTAAAACCAAACTCACTCACTCACTCCTTTAGCGACTATGTGGTGTTTCTACATCAATAACCTCCTCCAATCAAACGAAAGCATTTGTGGAATGAGTATCGTACTAACACAGCCTCTGTCTTCATTCGCCCAAGGCAAACATATGCCTGGAGAACGTGAACCTCATTCTTATGTCAGCACCAAGTGCTAAGCCAAAGAGTGTACCTCTCGTCGCCCGGGTAACGTTATTCCCGACACCCGACATGATGTTCGTTCCTTAGCTTCACCCGACATTGGGGGCGGTGGGGTGGTCTTGTGGTTAAAGCGTTCACTCGTCACGCCAAAGACCCTGGTTCGATTCCCCAGACAGGTACAATGTGTAAAGCCCATTTCTGGCGTCCCCCGCGGTAATATTGCTGGAATATTGCTAAAAGCGGCATAGAACTAAACTACCGAACCCGACATCGTGTTACTTCCTTCACACAACATCGTGTTCTTCCCGTCATCCGAGATTGTGTTGTGTCCCCGACTGACTGACGTTTTGTTTTACGCCGCTTTTAGCAATATTCCAGCTACATCACCGCGTGGGACACCAGAAATGGGCTTCACACATTGTACCCATGTGGGGATTCGAACCCGGGTCTTCGGCGTGACGAGCCAACGCTTTAACCACTAAGGCTACCCCACGGCCCCTGTGTCCCCGACAATGGGCTCTTGAAGTCACTCGACATTATGTTGCTCCAGAGACTGACACACTCCCAGTGCTGAAATAAGTTCCAAGGAAATATTCTCATGCATGTCAAGCGCAATGGCTACCGACAGGTTGCACTATGTAACCCGACTGACCGTCGCATTCACATTAAAGCTAACATCTGTGCTCATGCTATTAACCACTCGTTTGGAAGGCAGAATCCCGTCACCTTTAGCCGATCACCCCACAACAGAACAATGTTCCCCCAATTTTGATCTACGAGGCAGGAACGCCAACCACCTTGAATTTCCTTCCCCTGGGGAACCACAACTCGCTTCTATCACCCTCTCTCCCCCAGAAGCATTTGCTTCAACCACCCACCCATCCGCTTCAACAAACCCCCGGGGAGACGAACGTCTACGACTATCACCAATTAGCGGGGCACTGACGGAGAAGCAGTAGGGCGCGAGACGTGAACGCTGCTACCTGCCAAAGCCAGCACGTGCCAACAATATATACATGGCCACCGCATACCTCAGTCTGATAGTCCTCAGTCGACATTGAAGGAGCGGGAAGCCGTCACTCGTATCAGGAGCTGGGGATATATCAGATAATCAAATGTGAATACAGTCGACCTACATTTTTGGAATACATTACATTAGCCACTTCGTCTGCATGAGTGAACAACGCATTTGCAATAATCTGATCTCATAACGGTAAATTCAAAACGAGGATCGAGTACTAGACCACGTGACAATACGATATATATCCAAATGGGGTCATTAAGCCTCGGGATATAACAAGAGTGATTTTTCTTGAAAGGCTAGCTTTGACAAATGGGGTGGACACATTTTTTTACATACCCTTCTATTCACAACCAACAGGCACGCCCTATCAGGTTGTTCCACAGGACTATCGTCGTCTTGGGGCGACCCGTGAAGATCCGGGGTAGAATAGGTCTTCAGCAACCCATGTGCTTGCCATAAAAAGGCGACTATCTTGTCGTAAAAGGCGACTAACGGGATCGGGTGGTTAGTTTCGCTGACTTGGTTGACACATGTCATCGGTTCCCAATTGCGCAGATCGATGCTCATGCTGTTGATCACTGGATTGTCTGGTCCAGACTCGATTATTTACAGACCGCCGCCATATAGCTGGAATATTGCTGAGTGCGGCGTAAAACTAAACTCACTCACTCACTCACTCACTCGTCTTGGGGCGATGGGGTAGCGTAGTGGTTAAAGTGTTCGCTCGTCAAGGCGAAGACCCGGGCTCGATTCCCCACATGGGTAAAATGTGTGAAGCGCTTTTCTGGTGTCCCCTGTCGTGATATTGCTGGATTATTGCTAAAAGCGACATAAACCTGAACTCACTCACTCCTTTTGATGTAGGGGCGCGACCAAGCCTCATCGTCCAAGGCGCTGTGGTTCAGAGTTGCGTCGCTTGGCAACGTTAGGAACGAATGATGTTAGGTTTAAAACCCGGTTCACCTAGATTGTTTTAGGTGTGGCAGCACTAAGCCCGAGTATCATGGCGGGCCATGGGTATAAGGTCGGAGGACCATTTCTGGTTTTCCCCGGCGTAATATTTCTTAAATATTGTTGAAAGTGGCGTAAAAGGATAATGACTGTGTTTTCTGGCAGGACGTGCTTACTTAGTCTGTTTTAACCAGATATGGCCCACTGATGAGTACGCACGGTGTAAACAACATTCACACTCTCGAATGTAATGGGGATTTGTTGGGATTCTCTCACACACAGAGAGACAGACAGAATTTTGGATAAAATATATAAATATTCGAACTTCTTAATGCAGAACGCCTTGTTTCCTGACTGGAGTGTTCATTACCAGCACGTGATTATTTCAAACGCGCATGTTCTCAAGGACGCACGCATGCGCTCCTGACACGTGCAGGCAGCTGTTATTTTCACTTTATATACTCATGTGCGAAAATAACAACTTTGACCCGATAAGACTGCATGTTATCTATCACCTCATTTGCTATTGAAAACATTAATTATCTGTATTTATGTTTGCTGTGAAATGTGAAAGGTTAAAACTTCACTTCAACACACCGAACATCCGATTTGGCTAAGAAAAATGTTTGAAGCCATTCTTCACCCTTCCTTATACAACATGGAAGCTTATAGCGGCGTAGGGGCGGTGGGGTAGCCAAGTGGTGAAAGCATTCGCTCTTCACACCGAAGACCTGGGTTCGATTTCCCACATGGGTACAATGCATGAAGCCCATTTCTGGTGTCCCGAGCCGTGAAATTGCTGAAATATTGCTAAAAGCGGTGTAAAACTCACTCATTAAAGCGCCGTAAAATAACACTCCCTCATCTATTCGGTGTCTTTTTTGCAGGTCGAGAGAAAAGGCATTCTCCAGCATCAGGGGCAGATAGTATGTCGGAACATTAAGAATGAATGCCCCAAGCCAATGTGTGATACCCCAGTCCTGCTGCCAGAACGATGCTGCAAAACATGTCCGGGGCAAGGTACGTTATCCCTGTTTAGGGCTGCTGTTCTGTACAGAATGGCCCTAACTGGGTCTGATGTTGTGCTTCCTCCCCGTTCAGCGCCGCTAGACTGTATCATATAGCCCCACTGAGGCTAATGCTATGTTTCAATCATTGGCAGGTTTGGAACTGAAAAGGATGTATAGTATTATTTTAGGGTTTTGAAAATGTGGTGCATGCAGAGTATTTGCATCTAATTCCGAGAATTCGCAGATATGTCTTACATTATCTGGAGTGAGTGAGTGAGTTTAGATTTATGCCGCACTCTGCAATATTACAGCTATATCGCAGCGGTCTGTAAATAATCGAGTCTGAACCAGACAATCAGGTGATCAGCTTCATGAGCATCAATCTACGCAATTGGGATACGATGACATGTGTCAACCAAGTCAACGAGCCTGACCACCCGATCCCGTTAGTCGCCTCTTACGACAAGCATGGGTTACTGAAGATCAATTTAACCCGATCTTCACGGGTGGTTGAAGGGATGAGTAACGGTACCAGCTGATGTCTTTCTTCAATAGACCCGTGAAGATCCGGGGTAGAATAGGTCTTTAGTCACCCATGCTTGCCACAAAAGGCGACTAACGGGATCGGGTGGTCAGGCTCGCTGACTTGGTGGACACATGTCATCGGTTCCCAATTGCGTAGATCGATGCTCATGCTGTTGATCACTGGATTGTCTGGTCCAGACTCGATTATTTACAGACCGCCGCCATATAGCTGGAATATTGCTGAGTGTAGCGTAAAACTAAACTCACTCACTCACTCACTTTCTTTAATAAGCTATCAACAAGTTAACGAATTCTCAAGGCCATGCATTGTATGTATACATACATTGTTCATTCTCATCTATTATTAATTTTTATTCAGATTTTGTTTGCTCTTAAATCAATGACCCGCAAAGATTGTTGGTAAAGCGCGCGAGCATCTGCGCCAGAGGGTTCCCCTGCAAATAGTGAATTGGATGGTCATGGTGACTTGATTAACAGCATGTCATCATACCCCGACTGAACTGAGCGTTGCTCATTATATCAATCACTGGATTGTCTGGTCCAGACCAATTGCACTGTGTAATCGTAAGCTACTGTCATTAAGTAAGGCGCTATGCCCCGAGCTATAGTCTCGTCGAAGTCTCGTCGAAGTCACAAACTTCTGAAGACGCACAGCAGAAAGAAAAGCGTTTGGACTCCATGTAAGAATGAAGGTTCCAGGAACTGATTCTTGTTGTCAGGGGGCGACTGGATGGGTTGGTGGGCGGGTCGCAGGATGGAAGGTCGGGTTCGGAGACTGGTCGATAAGACATAAGATTATATGCAAAAATGAGAATCGGTCTTCAGCAATCCATGCTTGTCGTAAGAGAGGAGACTGAACGGATCCCATGGTCAGGTTCAGAGACTCAATGATTTCGGGGCGGTGGGGTAGCCTGATGGGTAAAGCGTCCGCTCGTCACGCTGAATATCCAGGTTCGATTCCCCACAAAGTCACAATATGTGAAACCCATTTCTGGTGTCCCCCGCCGTGATATTGCTGGAATATTGCTAAAAGCGGCGTAAAGCCCAACTCGCTCACTCACTCACTAAACTGATTTCATGTCATTCTATCGCAATTGCGTGGATTAAATATCAGTCAATCAGTCACTGGATTGTCTGGTCCAGGCTTGTTTATTTTCAATTCTTCCGATTATCTACGCCGAATATAACTGTGGTAAACATTGAAAAACTACCAAATATCGACCTCGGTAGAGCGGAGCTTCAACCTTGATAAAGCCCGATGTTACTTTATCTTCAAGTCGGGATGTTCGACAAGTAGGAAATGTGATTCCATTCTGAAGAAAGTCGATCTGAAACCCGTCCATCAGACTTCCCCGAACCGTCAGCTGTACGTGTTATGGAGACCTGGTTTAATCCACGCATCAAGGACCGCTCGTATTTTACATTACATCAGTAATTCTCACGCCTTAGAAAATCTGCCTCAAGTTTCGCTCTCGACCATGTAACAAGCCTCAACCGGATCCCCTCAGCCGACACCTGTACCGTACTTTTTGACAACCGGCATTTCTAACTTAGTGAAGTTGCAACGTCATTGTCTCAGGGACCAATCTAAAGCATACTTGAGAATTTCTGTCACCGCGGAACAATGATTGGATAAGTTGATATGGAAATACAGGGTCTCTGAAGAGCTTTTCACATCCGTTCGTCAAACATACCCGAGACCACCCACGTGACAATGGCACGGATTTGCTGCTGAGGAGGTCTTACAATGAGAGTTACTCCCCTGGCTATTGGCTTGTCCTTTGTTACACACTCGTTAACTATTGTGTTGTCGACATGCATTTTGGGGCATGATGGATTTACAGCTGAACGATGGTCCTGTTTGGCCTTGAGGGTGGATAGAGGATTAAGGAATTTATTTATATGTAAATAGAGTTTTAATGTTTCCCCAGAACGACTCTCAGTATTGTTGTATTAATACAGGAGGCTTACACTATAATTGCGTCATGTTCGAGTCCCAGTAGGGCGAGATAATGTGTTTCAAAGTTGCAGGACACCCATGAATATCAAATTGTACGTAATTTGTATCCATGACACAAATGATAGTACCCTGACAGCTATTCGTGTTTTATGACGTCTTAACTCGCCCTGAGACGGATGGTAATTTGTAATAGGATTTTTATCAACCTCCTATCCTGAAAGTTAAGTGGATTTATCCTATTCAATGTAGAAGGTGGTTTTATCATATGCGTGCGTTATACAGCGTATCCCCATATCGGTTGAAAGTGGATGTTTACTCTAGAATTGTTTCAGGATTCAGTCATTACTTTTTTCTGCGGTAATGCACGAGCAGGATGCTATGCAGGGGGTGGCGCCATGTTATCAATGTTCCCCCAACATCAATGCGTTTCGCTTCGCACTTACGTATTCCAACCATCCAAGATAAGTTCAGCAGAGCGCGTTATCAACACAGCGGTGTCATCAATTGTAGGTAGTTGTGTGACCGATAGTATCTGGAAAGGGCTGAGCATACTAACGTAACTTAGACGGCATGCTCCTAAGTTAAAGAATAGCAGCACTTTCTATTAGTGTGGGAATTTCTTTGAGAGCATTTCTACCGTATTGTTTGAAAATAGGTGTTACATTGCAGACAATTTATGTGCATATTGCAGACAGTAGTTTCGAGGACCACTACAGCATCAGCGGTAAAACCAAAGGCAAAGAGGTCGCCATTAGCGGAGACGAACATGAAAAACAACACAAAGGAGGTGATAATAGAAACATTTCTCAAATACTTTACCACTCGTAAACTCGAAATCGTTTAACGCCATACATTGCTTAAAACGAGACAGGTTCCCCTCTTGTCTCGAACTATAAATAGCATTAGATGTACCACTCAACTTTTCATAGGGATAGTTTTTCTTATTTCATTGAAAAGACTTTAAAGCATCACTCTTGAACAGTCTTAAAACACATCTAAAGTCTCGTTACTCCTAAAGCCTGAACAAAAGAAACCCCTTAAGGATCGTTACTATATACTCAGCAACAAAAATTAAGGACCACACCAATATTCAATATTGAAGTATTGTATGGATCATGATAACACTGAAGCCCTATAAAAAAGTGTAAACAACGTCTTCATCTCATGCGTAAACTGAGATCTTTTAATGTTAACCCATCTGTGATGTCATCTTTTTATGTAGCATTTATTCAGAGTATTTTAACATTTTCCTTCCATTGTTGGTACGGGTCTCTCTCAGTTCATCTCAAATCTAAAATAGACAAAATTGTTAACACTGCAAGTAAAATCGCTGGAGTCAGATTTGAATGTTTATTATCAATATATGAGCGGCAAATCGTGAATCAAGCTGTCAAAATCATATCTGACCGTACTCACTACTTAAATTCGGAATACAACCTTCTCCCTTCAGGCCACTGATACAAAGTTCCAATTGTGAAAACTAAGAGAGCCCGTACATCCTTTATTCCAAGTACCATATCTCTCTTAAACAAATGTGAAGATGCCTAAATCAAAGAATTTATGTAAATATGTTTGGTATCTCTCTAATGTGTCAGTAGCTCTGCTGATGTAACACAAATTCCTGAAAAGGCATTAAAGTATTATTCTATTCTATTCTATTCTATTCTATATAAACTATTAAATAATTTAATATTGAAGTTTCGGGGGGTCCTAAAACTTTTGTTGAGTATATTTCAATTGTAGTGAATACTGAGCACAAAACTTCCATGACTGTATCATCAAGAACATTCGTGTTATTATACCCTTCAGTATAGGTAAACGTAGTTGTATGAGGGGCGGTGGGGGAGCCTAGTGGTTAAAGCGTTGGCTCGTCACGCCGAAGACCCGGGTTCGAATCCCCACATGGGTACAATGTGTGAAGCCCATTTCTGGTGTACCCTGCCGTGATGTTGCTGGAATATTGCTAAAAGCGGCGTAAAACCAAACTCAGTCAGTCAGTCAGTAGTTGTATGAAGTACCTTAGTGTCCTTATCAACAGTTTAGTAGTATATTTTCGTTTATCTACATGAAGTAAAACATACGAATACAGACTAACTATTATTTGAAATGAGAGATAATTAACCAAGTAGGAGGGACCGAATTTGTTTTCGAATGTTTCAGAATTTATCGCACTGTTGGTTGGTCGCAACGTTCGTGGCACGCCAGTCAAAACGAAGGCCGTCGCCATTGTTCGCATCACCTTGACTAATGGCGAACTCCGGTATGCAGTTAGATACAACAGGTGCGTGTTGAATTCAGCATCTCAACATTCCTCCCTACTAAAATTCCCTTTATTCCTTTCACAAACTCTCGACTTTTCAACTTGTATTTATTTTTGAATGTATATATTTGTAGGGATATATTTTACTGTTTTGCCTCTTACATAAGTTAAAAATTCCTTTTGTTATTTTATCATATAGCCTATTTCTCCTACAATAGGCGTAAATTGAATGTGCATTTTACCTTTCACAATCTTTGGTTGAGGTCTCATCATGAATCAAAGGTATGTTGAATGTTTAGAATTTCGTTTTAAATCTTTATTGTGGCTCCGTGTAATATGAATTCATTTCATTCGTTATGCTCCTTTGGCAAGTTAATATCTGCCTACTATCAAGTGTTTATTGCCTGTTTGTGTCAGACTTGACCGGCCGAAGTTCCTCCAGATTACGGACGCTAATGGCAACGTTCTTGTTGAGACCCCCCTAGTGAAGAGCAAGAAAGGGGAGAGAAAGGTACACTTCATCTTAATAGGTAGTTTGTGTAATATCTCAGTCAAGATAAGTAAGCATGCAGGGCAGAGTGCACACAAGAGAAGAAACAGATCAGAAACGGAGTTTAACATTTACATGATTTTATATATTTTAGTCCCGTTGATATATCTATGGACAGTGTAACAACTGTATAATAATCTCAAGCTTTATGTTGATAATCTGCTGATGAGTGGGCGTTAACCTGGACACCAGGGTCCCGATACACAGCGCGATCGTACTTCTACGTAATTCGTAAGGCTATGACAAACTATACAGTTATGATAGCTCGTAACATTACCAACGCTTTGTGGATCGGGACCCTGGACTCTGATCCACAAAGCTTTGGTACCGTTACGAGCTATCGTAACTATACAGTTTATCAGAGGCTTACGAATGACGTAGCGCTACGAACGCTTTGTGGATCGGCTCCCAGGATCGAACAAAGATTTTAACGATAACGCAATCGTAACTCCCATACTCTATCATGGACTAAAGAGGGGCGGCGGGGTAGCCTAATGGTTAAAGCGTTGGCTTTTCACGCCGAAGACCCGGGTTCGATTCCCCACATGGGCACAATGTGTGAAGCCCATTTCTGGTGTCCCCCGCCGTGATGTTGCTGGAATATTGCTAAAAGCGGCGTAAAACCAAACTCAGTCAGTCAGTCAGTCATGGACTAAAGACGGTCGTAGCGCTATGATGGTTTCGTGCAGTGGGGCTCCGAACACTCTTGATCAAAGCGATTTTAGTGCAACGATCATCTAAACTCCTATAGACCCAATTGACTTAAGATACTATAGGGCTAAGATCGCTTTGTGCAGTGGGGTCCAGGGCCTTGATTTTCGAAGCTCTCTTAGCGCTAAGATAGTCGTAAGTGCCATACATTGACATAAACTTACGACTATCTTAGCGCTAAGAGAGCTTCGAAAATCTAGGCCCTGGACTTAATGTTAACAAATGCCGACTGCCCTCCTCGAAAAATATCATCACTCCGTGATAATGACCATATGATAATCTCCACATGGCCCATATTCCACTCACATATGTAAGACATGGAACCTTGTAGGCTCTGATGCGTTATAGTCGTTAATCACCTGACAAGGCGTGCTATATTACTGACAGCTCTGCGGCGTCTGGCAGAAGATCCCTAGCGTCTACCTGCAGTACTTCCGAGAGAGGCGCTTGTTCGCTGTCATCACGGCAGCCAAACACACCAAGGGCCTGATCGCCGGCCGCGTTGTCCCTCACGAACAAGCTGCGAAAGGTATGTCAGAATGTTTAGTTTTGATTCATTTTTATAAATCATATGTATGTTCTTTACAACGAAACAAACCAGGGAAGATTCTACTGGAATTGGTCTTCAGCAACCCATGCTTGTCGTAAGAGGCGACTGACGGGATCGGATGGTCAGGCTCGATGACTCGGTCATCGTGTCCCAATTGCGTAGATTGGTGCTCATGCTGTTTATCACTGGATTGTTTGGTCCAGACTCGATTATTTACAGACCACCACCATATAGCTGGAATATTGCTGAGTGTGGCGTTAAACAACAAACAAATAGCCAAACATTTGTCGAGTGGCGAAACAAGCGGCTGGTATCGGTATTGCTTGTAAGGGGCGACTAAAATGGGGGTCAGGTGGTCAGACGCTGCGAACTGGCCGTGAATAATCCGGGTATACGTAGTCTTGCACCCATACTTTAGGGGGCGGTGGAGTAGCCTATTGGTTAAAGCGCTCGTTACGCCTAAGGCTCGAGTTCGATTCCCAACATGGGTAAAATGTGTGAAGCTCATTTCTGGTGTCCCATGCCATTGTATTGCTGGAATAGTGCTAAACGCGGCGTAGAAACTAAACTCACTCACTCCATACTTTAGGGAGTTTGTTTCTGAACTGAAAACACTACCATATGTTATTGCGAACACCCCCTGTGGTCCTAATATGGTGGTCTTCCGTTGCTGGTGATCTCAAGACCGTTTATATATTGTGTCGTTTATATATTGTGTCGTTTAATGATAGTGTATTCCAATAATTACTGTGAAACTACTAGTAGTTTTAATTAAAATCTGTGATAGTCTATTTATTGTACTATCTTTCGCTGACATGATTTTATACAGTCTACATTTGTTTATCAACGTTTAGCTTTCTCTCGTCACGATATGACAGTAATATAGCCGGTGTGACGATCAAATTTAACTAACTCACTCACTCCTTTATTCGGGACTTTCAGCTGTATAGTCTGTTAATATAATTTGAATGACAGCGCTCTGGCCGTTGTGTAATGGCGGGAAATGAGCTTATTTGGTTTTTTGGGGGGTGGGGTAGCCTAGTGGTAAAAGCGTTCGCTCGTCCCGCCGAAAACCCTGGTTCGATTCCCCACATGGGTACAATGTGTGAAGCCGATTTCTGGTGTCCCCCGCCGTGATATTGCTGAATATTGCTGAATATTGCTAAGAGCGCGTTAAACTAAACTCACTCACTTATTTCAGTTCAAGCTCAGCTCAATGCTGAAATATTGCCGCGAACACTTGCCCGAGTGTTGATGCGGCGTTCAGCAATATTCAGCAATAGTCAGTAATGCCGATGTACAGCCGTAGCTTGTACTGTTTGTGGGAAAGTGTTCCCCTAATCCAGATTCATGATTGCTTTCTACCTGAAACCGGTTCATTGAATACATTTGCAGTTTGTCTTCTCGGACCACTAACAAATCTTCATAATGCCGAAAGCAAACAAGGTGCGACATTTCATACTTCCTACCCATTAATTTGTTTCGTGCAAAATGGCCTTGGATTGTAAGCGGTATAAAAACATTCCAGACACATTTAAGTGCCTGTCTCTGTGAGCTTTCTTCGGGTCCAGCTATTCTGTGTCAACACTAAATGAACGTGGGACCGGTAGTCCGATCCTTAAGCCCCTTAATAAGAAACCCATCTTCTCAGTGCGACATCTCGGGATGTGATTCGTCACACTCCTCAATAGACGATGACCCTGCCCCCTCCTAAAGATCCCCTCACCCCACACTGCCCCCGGAATCACCCCAGATGAATAGACCCTATTCGTTATAAATGGTATTTATGAAAATACTATTTTTCTTTATTGACATTGTGGAAGCTCTCAACACCGCCAATGTTTACTGTTGTAATTAGCCGCTGTATCGCAATGTACCGACTCCCTCTCGCGCCTCCTTATCTATATCCGGGCATTCAATCACGCGTGACGCTTGAATAGAGCGCCATCTAGCGTCAATGGAGGGAGGGTCCGCAACACCTTGTCAAGTGTACGTCGACTGACTTTCGATGCTGGGTAGAGCTCGCGAAACGTTGAGTAGGAGGTATTGAGAGGAGGAGTTTAAAAGGCCAATACTTGAGTAAAATAAAGCAAAGACTAATTTAAGTCGTTCGAAACTGAGAAACGGTAAAAGATTGTCTGGATTAAGTAATTGAGTTTAATATTCCGTGAACGTTTATGAGCGTGCTGAGGCCGAATTCTTCATGTACCCGCGAGAACAGAGGCAGACGTCAAACCGTTGCGCCGATACGACGCAACACAAAGGACGCACAACCATGTGCTAATGCGCGTCTTCTCGCACTCGCGCGATAAATCGTTTAGGATTTACAGGGTAAATACGTTTCTATGAGAACGTATCCAAGATGGCGGTCCTTTCAAGCGGCGTCCATGGTACCTCCCACGCGTTAACAAACACCGACGTCTAAATTTACCGCTTGTTTCTATTCCAGTTTAAGACATCTTGCTAATTTATACGAATATTTAAATTTGCAGAGACTTTCTCAGTCGTGATGGGGTCACCCAAGGCGGAGGGTATTGGAGGAGTTGCCTCCCTTGAATACGACCATTCCCAGCATCAAGTGAAATATGTCGTCTCGTTTGACGGCATCTTTGAAGAGAAAGGTCAGTTTCAGTTACCTTGCAGCCCTCCTACTGAATGTCACACCTGTGTGTGGCATTAATCCAACACAAATACCTTTCTTTATAAGACAAGGCATACTTACACTTGCGCGACTGGTGTCAACATACCTGAATCTCTAAAGCTCGTATGCACCACAGGCCGTGCTCTAACGGGTACACTATAGACAAACTCCGTGCAGTGTTGCATTCTTTCACCGTGCGAGCCTCCTAGTACAGTAGGGGTGGTGGGTAACATAGTGGTTAAAGCGTTCGCTAGCCACCCAAAAACTCGGGTTCGATTCCCCTTATGGATACACTGTTTGAACCCCATTCCTGGCGTCACCAGACGTAATATTGCAGGACTATGGCTTTGAACGGCGTAAAACTAAACTCACTCACTCTTGGTACAGTGGGTTCAAACATAAACGTCTCCCCGAGAATGTTCCATGGTCCGTCTGCACCAAGATCAGTCAGCAAACGTGACCTGTGTCGCTTTGTAATTTCTCCATTTAACAAACCCTGTGATTTAACTGCAATGCAGTTGAAAACGGTATTAATCACTCCGTCACTCAACCCATCAGCCAACCCATTCTGGTGTCCCCCGCCGTGATATTGCTGGAATATTGACAAAAGCGGCGTAAAACTAAACTCACTTACTCCATCACTCTTCCTTAGAATGGCATCTGTCATTGAAATGGACAAAATCTTTTTTGAAAATTTGATATTTGGGATTACACTTTCATGGAAGTGTATAGATTCTAGTACATTTTTCGGTGGATTAATCCGTGATTCAAACGCACACTTTCAGTAAGGCGCTGTCATTGACCTTTCACAGTCAGCAACCGAGGCTTCCACAAACGGAACTGGTTGCCTTGATTTGGAAATCGGGCTAGCGTAGTGGTTAAAGCGTTTGCTTGTCACGTTGAAGACCCCAGTTCGATTCCCCACACGGGTACAACGTATGGAGCACATTTCCGGTATCCCCGCCGTGGTGCTGCTGGCGTATTGCTAAAGGCAGCGTAAAACCCAACTCACTCACTCACTCACTCACTCTCTTCCTTTGTGTACTTTTGTGTAATTTGGCACAGATCCCTCGACCGAAACCCGTGAAGGTCCGGGTTAGAATAAACCTTCAGTAACCCATGCTTGTCGTAAGAGGCGACTAACGGGATCGGGTGGTCAGGCTCGCTGGCTTGGTTGACACATGTCATCGGTTCCCAAATGCGCAGATGGTGGATGCTCATGCTGTTGATCACTGGATTGTCTGGTCCAGACTAGATTATTTACAGACCGCCGCCATGTAGCTGGAATATTGCTGAGTGCGGCGTAAAACTAAACTCACTCACTCACTCACTCGACCGAAATGTATGGTTAATGCATGTAGGAACATTCGACCACTTTCTGAAAGACATTGTCCATTCACAACTGTCGGCCAAACTGTGTTTGGCGTTATTTCACGACGTCGAGTTGACGTTCCCTGTACAAGCAAGCACTCAGAGCGCTGACCAACCTTCCAGCAAACGATCGTAGCGCTGAGGTGATGGTAACTCAAATACTTTAAAAAGACTTACGACAACCGTAGCGCTACTGTCGCCCTGGAACGGGACCCAGTCACCAAAGGCTGTACAGAATTGCGTCCCTTGGCGTGCTAGGCACCTATGATCGTGGGTTCGACTCCCACGTTTGGCCTGATTTTCTGTTTGTAGGTTTCTCAGCACCATACCCTTGTCTTCCTTCTTTAAGCTCTGATGCAACTGAACTACTGTTATACCGTAAACACCAACCACTCACTATCCTATACAATATGATAACAGCCGTAAACAAATGCTGACCTTTCCAGATTTCAACGGCGAGTACTATGTCACTGTTGAGAAAAACCACAAAATAATCCATCAGTCCATGGGCAGAGTCGGTAGAAAGGTAAGTGTAATGTTATTCACAATCATAATCATCATTATCCATAAACATCTGGGGGCGGTGGGGTAGCCTAGTGGTTAAAGCGTTGGCTCGTCACGCCGGAGACCCGGGTTCGATTACCCACATGGGCAAAATGTGTTAAGCCCATTTCTGGTGTCCCCCGCCGTGATGTTGCTGGAATATTGCTAAAAGCGGCGTAAAACCAAACTCAGTCAGTCAGTGTAACGTAATATAACCCGATATTAAACAGTCACATTATGTTGAATTTAACTCGGTCCTATCTAGCCCAGGTAACCGTGCCCCCTTATCCCTTCCTCCCTTAGGGGGCTGTGGTGTAGCCTGGTGGTTAAAGCGTTTGCTCGTCACGCCGAAGGCCGGGTTCGATTTCCCACATGAACAAAATGTGAAGCCCCTTTCTGGTGTCCTCCGCCGTCATATTGCTGGAATATTGCTGAAAGCGGCGTAAAACCATACTCACGCACAGGTAATCTTCAAGTGCTCCCCTGACGTGTCATCGCTGCTGACCCGTAAAGGTCCGGGTTAGAATGAACCTTCAGTAACCCATGTTTGTCGTAAGAGACGACTAACGGGATCGGGTGGTCAGGCTCGCTGACTTGGTTGACACGTGTCATCGGTTCCCAATTGCGCGGATCGATTTTCATGCTGTTGATCACTGGATTGTCTGGCCCAGACTCGATTATTTACAGAACTCCGCCATATAGCTGGAATATTGCTGAGTGCGGCGTAAAACTAAACACACTCAGTCATGGCTGCAACAGTGCTATATGCCGCGTGAAACATTCTCCTCCTCCTGTAACAAGCGGGTAACCAACACCACGCTGTAGGGAGTTCCCACCATATTGTTCACGTCTCTCGCTGTCTTCTCCTTCAGAGCAACACTCTGTCAGGAACATGGAAGATGACCAAGAAGCGGGAGTCCAAACAGCTGGCACGTGGTCGTCTCGTGCTCCGTGTGACGTCACGAGGTGGAAATACCGTCAGTGGAAATATCCAGCCCAGGCTGACGTGTGAAAGTATGTATAGCGCTGCTCGATTACATCAACGATTAATATATTGTTTCCTGTGCCAGCGTCGTAGGGAGAACTGTTCTCCTGTACACAACGTCAGTAGACCAAGATCAGACTTGGGAACACCCAGTCCTCGGCATCCCATGCTTGTCGCAGAAGCTGTGATCAGCCTTTGAATGGGTTAATGCATGTCATATTCCAGTAGGACAATCACAGGATTGTCTGTTTGGTCCAGACTCGATTATTTACAGACCACGACCATGCAGCTGAAATGTTGCTGAGATCGGCGTTAAACAACAAATAAAGATTTCTGGAACAACCACAATTGCTCCATACTTTTGAATGAGCTGTTTGTTTGACAATCGAGTCTGGACCAGACAATGCAGTGATCAACAGCATGAGCATCGATCTGCGCAATTGGGAACCGATGACATGTGTCAACCCAGTCAGCGAACCTGAGCACCCGATCCCGTTAGTCGCCTCTTACGACAAGCATGGGTTGATGAAGTCAATTTTACCCGGATCCCCACGGGTTTCTACCCAAAAGAAGTCAAGGAACGCCCAGTTCTTTAATATTACTGTAATTAATATTCCATGTCGTGATTATTTTGACCCGTGAAGATCAGGGTGAGAAGTGATATTCAGGAACCCGTGGTTGTTGTAAGAGGCGACTAACGGGATCGGGTGGTCAGGCTCGCGGACTGTGACACATGTCATCGTATCCCAGTTGCGCAGATCGATGTTCATGCTGTTGATCACTGGATTGTCTGGTCCAGACTCGATTATTTACAGACCTCCAATCTATAGCTGGGATATTGCTGAGTGCGACGTAAAACTAAACTCACTCACTCGTAATTAGTTTGTACAGTACTATGAAACAAGGGGGTGTTCCTTACCTTCTTTTAACTAGTATATCACTGCGAGGACAGTATTGCTGTTAAATAACAAGATAAAATAAAAAATGTTGACTGGCCTATGCTGGCTGATAGAACATGAGACCGATGTGACAGTTTAACGTGCTTCTTTGCAGTCTACCAGTCGTTGATGTCGGGGTTCCAATCGGTGAAGCATGCGCCTTCGCCCGCAGCCGGAACTGCCATCTTGGACATCCGCGAGCAAGGCTACATTTCTTACAACATCAGAGTTGTCGGCCTTGACAGCAAGGTGGCGCGCATCCGGCTCGTGGGCGCTCCCAACAAGAAGGGAAAGCGGAAGGTCGTAGCCAATCTTCAGAACACCTTCAAAGAGGATATTAACTCTTTCAGTGGATGGGTGAGTATGACTACTTGGATTAAGTATATCCAAACAGATATTCAGATCGGTATCTTAGTTAAACAAATATCTCACTAAGGGTTTGTTATTAAATAATCAGCGTTGTTTGGATGACCGCGTAATCGTAGTCGTTGTAAGGAGTTCTTACAATCAGGACCCGTGAAGGTCCGGGTTAGACTGAAACTTCAGTAACCCATGCTTGTCGTAAGAGGCGACTAACGGGATCGGGTGGTCAGGCTCGCTGGCTTGGTTGACACATGTCATCGCTTCCCAATCACGCAGATCGATGCTCATGCTGTTGGTCACTGGACTGTCTGGTCCAGACTCGATTATTTACAGACCGCCGCCATATAGCTGGAATATTGCTGAGTGCGGCGTCAAACTAAACTCACTCTTACAATCAGACCAGTCGGGAGATAGCGGATACTGACGTTTAATGTCAGGATCCGCTATCTCCAGACTGGTCGGGTATTGATCCTAAGTGACAGGGCTACCCATCGCAAGTTGTATTAGTCAAAGAAAATTATTGGCATGAAGGCCCCACAGGAAGTGCATGTTTTAGTTGACCGATTTACGGAATGCTGTGGAATAATATTGTAATATAATAACTCGCCATGTCCTTGTGACCATGTATAGATTTACTGATCATGGGAGTATGAAATATTAGCATGAAAATTATTTGTGTCCAGCTGTCATTCTTACAGTTGAAAGTCCTGAACATAACATGGCATAAGACAAAGTAAAGACGTTGTCTTGCTAGACCGTGAGCAAGACGCTAGTTTGCCTTATCCACAGCTAAGAAAATCAGCTCTGTTTGTATTGAAATAGTAGAGGGCCGGTATTGTTAGAAGCGGCAGAAAAGCAGCACCCTCACTCACTAGATTTTGAAAGGTCCATTTCTTGGCCTTGGGAAGGGAAATATGACATTAAATGGTTTAAACGTCATTATTTCCAGGTTGTATTCATTTGGCTTGCATACTGCGCTTTCTGTCGAACCTTTGGGTAAAATATATTTTAAGACAGAATTGGTTAATGAGCTCATTAATCAGCCTTCCTCGTTTAGCAATATTTACTTGGTACCTTTGCCAAGATTTAACAGCTTACATCAGATGTTCAAAATGTATATGCCTCTCCGTTGTTTAAGATGGATCTGCTACCAGACACAACTAAGCAGTCAATACGTAGTTGTTTAACATACGTTCTTATGTGGTATACATTTTCGTAATGGATGGGCGGTGGGGTAGCTCTTCTCTCGTCACACCGAAGACCCGGGTTCGATTCCCCATATGGGTACAATGATTGAAGCCCATTTTGGTGTCACCCGCCGTGATATTGCTAGAATATTGTTAAAAAAGACGTAGAACCATACTCACTCACTTAACTGTATGGACATTCCATAGCTATTTTTTAACATCAGCGTGTTTTGTGGTGCGCTTGGACTGTATCTAATACAATTGTCGTTTGTACTCTTACTTGTAGTTTTTGTCAATGATAATATTTAGAAGGTGATACATCAAATGACTGAATATTTATAATCCACAAATTTACATCTATTCAGATACAGTATGCAAAGGATGACCCAAGACATTTTCCCCTTAATAAGATGTCATTTCCTATTGGCCTCGCGTCCACATATAAGAAGTAACCCCGTCACTCCCTTGTCGCCCAAAATAGGCGTGCGTGAAATGATCCGAGTCCGGTTCACTGACAACTTTCGTGACAGTATATCTCAAACGCCATGTCCATTTTTATACATTATGCAAAACTGACCAAAACTAGCCCGTACATTAGTTGACTTTTGTAATCCAACTGCTTCATTTTATTAATATCCCTTTCCAGGCAAATGGAACGTACAAAAAACTGAAAGCAGACGACATCGACTTGCTCCTGAACAACAAACTCTACATCAATGTCGTCACGTCTGGAAAGAAGTCGAGCAATCTTCGGGGCCGTGTTGCCAGCATCCCCTACCACACCCACTTCCAAGACGTCGGCGTCTACCCCGTCACTCTCGTCCCCGTCACCACCGAGAGCGAGGGTGCGGCTGCGCATGCCTGGCTGTCCATGGATGTCGGCTGCAGCCTACATTATGACGTCATTGTCTCGCAGGCAACCGACGAGACTTTCAGTCTTATGCTTGGTACCTATGGCAACAGTCTCATGAGCACAGCCGTCCTTGGGACATCAGAGAAACAAGAACCGATAACTCTCTTCGAGACTAAAATGGTAAATATTAGCAATTCTTTGCTCCGTTTTGACTTATTGTCCGTGAAGATGCGGGTAAGAACTTCACCAACCCATGCTTGTCGTAAGAGGCGACAGGATCGGGAGGTGAAGCTCGCTGTCATCCTAAACCAATTGCGTAGATCGATGCTTATGCTGTTGATCAATGGATTGTCTGGTCCAGACTCGATTATTTACACACCGACGCCATCTAGCTGGAACATTGGGGTGTTAAACAAAAAACAACAAAAACAAAACAACCCCCAAACAAACAAAAAACAACCCCAAAAAAACACCCAAAAACAACAACAAAGAAACAAAAACAAAAAAACAACTAATAAGAGATAACAAGATGATATCAAGATGGAACTGCTACCATTTGGCACCAAGGTGTGACTCTTCTGACACGGAGACGTGACCAGGCTGATTGACCTATATACATTAACGACAGCACTATATACTTACTTGTCTTGTTTGTTGCTGCAGATAAGCGGCAGCGTCAACAGTGTTCCAGAAGGACTCTTCCGAGATCTGGATGAAGGGAACGCTTTCTTGCAAGTCAATTCCGGAAGTGACATTATTTTGTCTGGAAATGTGAGTACCTGGTTACAACTCCTCTTAAGTATGAGCAGTCGAAGCGGACTGCTCCACAGACTGTTGTACATGTTAGGTCCTGGTTGAATATTGCCAATATGAACAGACAATAATTTGATTTTCATGGCGATAGCTAGTTCTGATTTTAGACAATAGGTTGTTTTCAATTATTCTGGAAAGGAACCCACGATTTTCTTTAAAAGACAGCATGTTTTGAGCATGTCTAGTGAATGATCTATTTGTAATCTGAGAAAAATACAGATTACGATTTCTTGATCACATAGCTGCAATATTGTTGAGTGTGAACAATAAACAAACGTTATTTGGAAATGAAATGTACACTTCAATCCTTAATTGTCGTCACTATCGCCACTAGGTGACGCTGCCTAACACGTGCTGGCAGTACGCCGGCGACATCGACACTGACATTCTGGTCGACGAGCAGCGCGAAGACGACAACGAAGAACTGAAATTCCGCTGCTACTACGAAGGGAAATACTTCGAAAACGGCGACAGCTGGAAGCCTGTTGTGAATGCCACATGCAATAGATGCAGTTGTAACGTAAGTAGCACCGGATGTTCGTGCGGCCCAAGCTCTATACCGCGACAGCCCATTCACGGAACTCTTTTCTTGTCAGATTTAACTACATTGTTATTTCAGCTTTCATGTATTATGAGAATTTAAAGGGGCAGTTGGAAGCTTCTCATGCGAGTGTTATCTCCGACCAATACATTGTAAGAAGCGTACGTAAAATAATTTACGGCAGTGCCTTCACACAATTTACTTCCATGACACCGGCACCTTACATGTCATTTCATTATTGTTTCAAGGGAAATTTTCCAATATTTATGATACTTAGCGGCATCCGCCCGGATGGTTAGCGATACGCGAATGTATCGATACATCGATACATTTTTACTGACGATACGATACGCGATACATGCTTGCGTGTATCGATTCCTATTTTAAAACTTTATCGATTCAATTATACCAGACCGCTCCGATAAATAGATGTAGCTAGCTTTACTTAAAAGATAGGTTGGAAACTAACAGCTTTTCTGATTGGCTAGACTATTTTGATGGACCAGTCAGCGAACGCGTACGTTGCCGGTAAGGTAATGCTATGAAAAGGCGCGATAATTATGTATCGCGATACGTATCGTATCGTGACCTTAAAATCGTGATACGTATCGTATCGTGAGATTGGTGTATCGTGACACCCCTAGTTAGCGATGATATCAGGCTCTTGGGAGGAGCTTACCTGGTAACCGTACTATTCCTTACGTAAACTTACACTTGCAAATACATGTACATATATTTCCTAGTTAATTGGTTACAATTTGCGTCTTCCTTAGGAACAAGGGTGGCCCGGTAGTGTCACACGTGCCAGATACCTCAGGTCATGGGTTTCAGTCCCTGATTCCTTTGTTTCTTGGTTTGTCGGTACCATATCCGTGGCCTTCGCCACAATAGATTACACAAGCCGTGACATAACTGAAATACATTTCAAAACTTCTCAAATGCTTCCTTCCCAAGAATTGGTCTTCAGTAGGGGCGGTGGGGTAGCCTAGTGGTTAAAGCGTTGGCTCGTCACGCCGAAGACCTGGGTTCGAATACCCACATGGGTATAATGTGTGAAGCCCATTTCTGGGAGTCCCCCGCCGTGATGTTGCTGGAATATTGCTAAAAGCGGCGTAAAATCATAGTCAGTCAGTGGTCTTCAGTAACCCATGCTTGTCGTAAGAGGCGACTATTACGAGTGGTCAGGTTGGTTGACTTGGTTGGTACATGTCATCATATCCCAATTGTGTAGATAGATGCTCAAGATATTGACCACTGGTTTGTCTGGTACAGACTCGATTATTTACAGACCGCCGCCATATAGCTGGAATATTGCGGAGTGCGGTTAAACAACAAATCAACTTAATTCTTCCCTTCGGTAACATCGTTTCAATGTTATTCACAGAAACGCACCGTTACCTGCCACCACGTGCTGTGCCCAGCCGTCACGTGCGCCAACCCCGTACAGGGCGAGTGTTGTCCCAGGTGCCCCGATGCCACGGAGCGAGAGACCCGAGTGGAGAATAAGACGTGTCAGCTCGAGGGAGATCACAGACATCACAACATCGGAGACACATGGCACCCCTTTCTACCTCTCTCCGGCTTCACCAAATGCGTTCTCTGCAAGTGTCTGGTAAGTTGGTCGGGTATCTTCAGTTAAATAAAATTGAATCGTGTAAGAGACGTAAAAACTACTACAAATGATCAATTACCTCACAAAAGTAATCGTCACTAAATTATTAACCGTTACAAAGCAGCATTATCCTTTTTTCTGTGGGGGCGGTGGGTTAGCCTAGTGGTTAAAGCGTTCGCTCGTCACGCCGAAGACCCGGGTTCGATTCCCCACGTGGGCACAATGTGTGAAGCCCATTTCTGGTGTCCCCTGCCATGATATTGCTGGAATATTGCAAAAAGCGGCGAAAAACCAAACTCACTCACTCACTCACTCTCTGCGGGGTCGTTATGATTTCAAGCTGCTTCTGGGGAACTGCTCATTGCTCTGAAGCGCCACCACTGAGTTGCTTCCCTTGGCCGTACCGGATCAGCGCTGGCGATGAGATAGCACAGAATTAACTGTTTACTCGTCATGCCGACGGTTCCGGCTCGATGCCCATTTCAGGTGTCCCCTATCCTATCCGAGATTTACCTTGAATATTGCTAAAAGGGGCATAAACCCAAACTCTGACATTTTTATTTATTCATTTTCAAGGTTATGTGTGACTTTTTCTCTGTAGCCGGGAGGTGTACCAAAGTGTGACCGGCTGCCATGCCCGAAACTGGACTGTCCTGCAGACGAGCGGATCAGGACAAACCCCGGCGACTGCTGCCAAGTCTGTGGACGTGAGTATGTTCTGCACTACAGGAATCTTCACTAAAAGGAGCTGCTTCCTTGTTACCTGAACACTGAGGGGCGGCGGGGTAGCCTTGTGGTTAAGGCGTTCGTTCGTCACGCCGAAGGCCCGGGTTCGATTCCCCACATGGGCACAATGTGTGAAGCCCATTTCTGTTGTCCCATGCCGTGATATTTCTGAAATATTGCTAAAAGCCGGGTAAAACAATAACTCGCTCGCTCACTCACTTCCACTTTTTGCAGCAAAGAAGGAAAGAGTCGTGGTACCGGAAGTGAAACCTCTGAAGGACATCAACATGGTGGGTGCGTGCACGTTTATGGACGAGGTATTTGCCGATGGTTCCCGATGGCACCCGAAGATCGCCCCGTTCGGCTACATGAAGTGTGTCGTGTGCCGGTGTAAGACTGGCGTGTACAACTGCGGGCGACAGAAATGTCCCAAGCTCAACTGTAAGAGGAAGATCAGAAAGTCAAACTCCTGCTGTTACAGCTGTGACCGTAAGTATCACCATATACAAGAACACCTTTAGTTTGGTAATCTAGTGTGGGGTAGCCTAGTGGTTAAAGCGTTCGCTCTTCACGCCTAAGGTTCGGGTTCGATTCCAAACATGGGTACAATGTGTGAAGCCCATTTCTGGTGTCCCCCGCCGTGATATTGCTGGAATATTGCTAAAAGCGGCGTAAAACCAAACTCACTCACTGGTAATCTAGTCTGCAGACAAAGTTTTCAAGTTTACCAAAGGGGCTTAATTATAACAAAAACTTGTTACCCTACCTCATGTAAGAATGTCCAGCTCTGATTGGTTCACGTGACCTTGAACAAATTACCATGTGTGTACGGTCGTACACTGCCCAAGCAGGGTATAAATCTTTGCGAGGGAGAATAATTAATTAATACCCCGCCCCATGGAAAAACATGAATCCATAGCAGTCAGTGAACCGTGCAGCAGTGGTTCGAATCGACTAGTCAGTATCATATAAGTAAGATATATGATTGAATTTCAGTTTGTTTCAATGTTATCTTTACATAATGAGAGATTTAAACATTCGCTAAGATAAATTCGTTGTAGCATTATGATTCGGTGGATAAAACACGGGACGCATTAAACACGTATATCCCTCATCACAATGCTACGACTTATATTGTCGAATGTGAAGTCTTTTTTAAGCACTTATGTACATTGCTTCTCATTAAAAGTAGGGCGGTGGGGTAGTCTAATGGTTAAAGCGTCTGCTCGTCACGCTGAAGACCCGTGTTCGATTCCCAACACATGTACGAGAGTACCTTGTGAAGTATGAAGCCCGTTTCTGGTGTCCCCAGCCGTGATATTGCTTGAATATTGTCAAAAGTGGCTTAAAGTCATGCTCACTCACTCGCTTCGAAAGTAAATTATATGACCCTACCTTAAAACAGCCTGAAACCCCCTGTGGGTGGAGCAGAATCGTGCCACCATACCAGATCACCAACTATGTCTTCAGGGCTAGCATTTCGGTAATCCAGCACTAACACCTGAGTCTAATCCCGTTGTTCTCGCGATCTCAGATCACCCGTCCTTGAGTTTCATTGGCTAATTTGATTTGCTACGCAGTCGATAGGACCAATCAGGAAATGTTACATGTTCAACAGACGATATCAACAAAATGGCGGCCAGTGTAATTAATTATAATAGATTCTGCATAAAACTCGTCATAGAAAAATTTGCCAGACACACAAAAGAAAGTCCTAAAAATACTCCTTAATGGAAAGGGTTGGACAAAATGTCTCCATATCTCTCTCCCAAGAGATATAGCTGGAATATTGCTGAGTGCCGCGTAAAGCTAAACTTACTCACTCACTCACTCATGCAGTCATTAACTACATAATTTACTTACATAAATGATATTCGAAACGCGCTGCTTATTCGTAAAACAACATTCATACAATCACGTTTCAATCAACTTTACAACTGATGTCCCGAAGCTGTATATAACCGTCTAGTGTATAACCATCTAGTATATAACCACCTGGTATATAACCTGGTCCTTTGTCTTGTAGCCAATCAGCCAGATGAGGATGAGGAACAGTCCAAGGATGAAGGGATGTGCAACTTCGGTGGCCGGACCTACAGAAACGGAGAAAAATGGCGGCCGAAGACAGCTCCTAACGGCACCGTGCGCTGCGCTGTGTGTAAATGTAAAAACAGCACGGCGAAGTGTAGGATTCGCTGTTCAAAGAAACGATGCGAAAACGATCCCTTCTTGAGAGACCCGTGCTGTCGAGAGTGTCAAGGTATGTTTGTATGCAGGATGTCTGTTTCAATATATGGTCATGTGTTTGTTCTGAATATTTTGGGGGCGTCGGGTTAGCTTAGTAGTTGAAGCGTTCGCTTTTCACAGCGAACACCCGGGTTCGACTCCCCGAGGAGTGTCCTCCACCCTGATATTGCTCGATTACTGCTCAAGCGGCTTAAATCTATATTCACACACATTTAATTCTGTGTCCTATGTGTCGGTGTGTCTGGCCATATGTACCTATACATAGGTTAGAATTGGTCTTCAGAAACCCATGCTTGTCGTAAAAGGCAATTAACAGGATCGGGTGTCAGGCTCGCTGACTTGGTTGACACATGTCATCGTATCCCATTTGCGTTGATTGATGGTCATGCTGTTGATCACTGGATTGTCTGGTCCAGACTCATTATTTACAGATAGCTGGAATACTGCTGAGTAGTGGTGTTCCGATTAATTTAAGTAATCGAAGATTGGTCGCAGTGACAAACGACCAAGCAATCGATCACATTTTCTCAAAATAGAACACAAATGATTTTGGAACTACTGGTTTAATGTTTGAAACACTTGACGACGGAACATATCTTTGATGTTGTCAGGGCCTGAAAATGTGTTTAATCGTTAGAAAACTCACTTGACTAACTGAAAAGTAATGACTGAATATTTCTTGAAGACTCCAGGAAGTTTTTCTTCATGATATATCAGTTATCATATTAAAGTAGCAAGTTGCATCATGTTACCAACCCGAATAGAAAAAATGTGAAAAAGGAAGCTAACCAATTTTTTTCGATGATTGATCGGCTGTAATGAAACAATCATCAATTATGAGATTTTAACCAATTCCCAACACTACTGCTGAGTGCGGCGTAAAACTAAACTCACTGTGACTCACTCCCATACATGCAGAGAACATGACGGTATATGTAGATTAACAATCAGATGGTGTCAATCAATGTTCTGTTTTGTATTTTCAGCACGAAGGAATCGGAGAAAAAACAGTCGTGAAAAATCCTCAAGTAAAGAAAACCGAAACTGATCGGCAAGCTGTTGTGAATGTTTGATCCCAAGGTCCGAGTGTTGTGTGTGGGCGAATGTTTCTTCAGGATGAAAACATGTTTGCGTGAAAGACTACCTAAACCATGTGATACGTTCAAAATGGCGAACAATGCTATTCCGTCTTGATCAGGGACTTCCAAGACCGAGAGAACTGAAGGACAATCGTATGAACTTTGTCCTGAGGACACTTACAACTTGACTGTGTTGCCCTTCATTTGGTGAACGAAAATGGGACGTTTTGATTGGGTAACCATTCACGTTACGAGAACTTGTTTCATGGTCTTTCTTTACAAAGACCTTATTTTCGTGTTGGGACGCGAGATGTGATTAGTGCTATATTCACATTATTCAACACTTCACCTTATTAGTGCTATTGTTTTAAGGTGTTTGTGTTGCGTTTTAACGAGGGACTTACAAACTATACCACGTTACGTGTTTACCGACGTCATCAAACTGAAACTGACTTCACAGCAGGCCATGGCCGCAGGTTTTTGTGACGTCATACCGGAAGTGCTTCCAGCAACCAAAGACTGTTGCTCGTCACGTGATTCACCACGTGTGATTTTTAGTACAGAAAGTTTTAGTATATGTTTTCATGTTGACATCACGATAGTTATTTTCGATTTCATACGTAAATTTATTTAAATTTATTCAAATTCTTCCAGCAACATTTGGATGCTATTTTGTGCATTTATACCTGAACCTTTTCAAATAACGTGATGTTCTGTGCATTTGTTACTTGGTGTAGTCTTTGTGCTCTGTGTATTGTCTTCGTGCTCTGTGTATTGTCTTCGTGCTCTGTGTATTGTCATTAATGTTCTGTGTTCTGTCAATGTGTATTGTCACTCGTGTTCTGTGTATCGTCATCTAGATAGTCGTGTACGTAATTGTTATTTAATTATTTAATATTGGCATACATTTTTATGTGCAATGCAGTTAAATAAGCACACGATTCTAAGTGTTTTAAACGTTAGAACTAGACTGTTGATACGTAGATGTTTCTACTCCATATACGTTCATACTAAACTATCCACAGCTGTACATATATCATTCGTTCTGGTCATTTCACGGCTTTCATACACAGTTTAGCTATTGTCATTGTTGTAAATATTCCCTAAGACCGAAGGTGCTGTATTTGAATTCCGTGTTATATAAAGACATCGAAATCGAATCACGTGTTTTTCGTAAGATTTAGTATGGGTTGTATGTTATAACAGAGACCATATACCTTGGATGATATAGATGAAGGTAAAAACACCGATGTGAGCCTTCGAATCTCGCAGATCTCGCAAAGCCTCCTAATTTGCTCTGAGGCCCGTAACGGTGGCAAGACGTGTTACCAAAATACATTTATAAATGAAAAAAGAACTTATCCTTTCGTCAAAACCTGTGAATTCAGAATGCATATTTGTATCCCTTTTGCAGGTACCGTTTTGTTTGTGGGGTTCCAGTTTGCTCGTTTAACGTTATTTCACACATTACTTAATTCTTTTATAATAAGTGTACCTAAAAGTGTTGTTTGGGGTGGTGGAGTAGACTGATAAGGCATCCGCTCTTCACGCTCAAGACCCTGGTTCGATTCCTCACAAGGGTACAGGGTTTGAAGCCCTTTCTGGTGTCTCCCGCTGGAATATTGCTAAAACGGGCGTGAAACTCACTCACTCACCTACTATGTTTTCAACTTCAGGTGAACTTCAGTGCCCAGTCGCTAATTTCCAATCACGTCACTGATAATCAGAAATTAGTAAAATCTGATGAGTAGAATTAACACTTGTATTCTTTTTGATGTTTTCAATCCAAAATAAATGTGAAAACATAATGCACACATAAATTACATACACATAATGTTTTAACAGAATGAACCGACGATTCATCCATTTTCTGTTGGTTTCTGAATGTAAGGGAGATAACTCCTGCTGTTCTGTCTGGTCGCAAAGCTACTCGATTTGGTTTCGCCCTGAACGTACTGCCGTATATAGAAATAAACTCATTCATTGTCTAACCTATTTACCAATCATTAAAATAACAAATTAAGAAAGCTGTTGTTAACCCTTGTTTGAAAAGGATAAACAGACACTAAATAGAAAGGGACATGTTTACTGGAGAGAAGATCAAACCAAATTGAGTTCAAAGAAAATGATGCATGTTTTATTAAATAACAATACGTTATTAAGACAATGGGCAACGAAAACTCTTTTTCGTTTTGAAGTATTATCTAATATACGAGACGTTACTTTAGATTCAAATATGGAAAAAATAGTATATGCATTGCTGTAAGTACATCAACGAAGCCAAGCACCCTTATTGTATCTGTATTTAGAGAGGTGACTGTGGTTGTACGCCGCTTTTAGCAATATTGCAGCAATGTCACGGCGGGTGACTTCGAACGGATAAAAACGAAATTCTATGATTACTTAATTTTTAGACCGCCTCCGTGGTGTAGTGGTTAGAGCGTCCGCCCGGAGAGTGGAAGGTCGCGGGTTCGATCCCCGACCGCGTCATACCAAAAGACGTTAAAATATGGTACTTGTTGGTCCCTGTCTGGCGCTCGGCATTAATGGGTACAATAAGGACTGGTCGGCTCGGAGTCAGTATGATGTGTCTGAGTGGGGTATTCATGCTTCACTGCGGCATGGTATCTCAGTGGGCTAGCACTATAAAACCAGCTTAAGTCTGGGCTAGTACAAGCAGCTGCACCTACACCTACATACACACGCATGCACGTCGTCATATGAGCGAAATATTCTCAAGCACGACGTAAAACCCAATTTCACCTCACCTCACTTAATTTTTAATATAGTGATTGATACATTTGGACAAGTTTACACCAAGCGTTATCTCGTTTATTAGCTCACTTGCCAAGTGCACGAGACCCTGACTTCAAAGGGAAAATAATCTATTGACAACCGACAAAGAATTTGCTGGCCCAGAAAAGTGCAGCTGTTGGATGGATACATAGCGTGACAGTCACGTATGACGCTACAACTACTTCATTGTAACACAGCAGAGGCGAAGAATCGCCGGAAACAGTCGAGATGTAACGAGAGCCAAACCGGAAATGACAGTCAGCCATTTACTGCAGCATGCTTTGGGTCGGTGTGATGTATTTAGATCTCCGCACGCTATGATTTGCCGCATAACTGATCATATTTGATGTTGACAATGCTGGTGGCATTTTGTACCTTGTCTGTCCTCGGCTGTGAGTCGGGAACATTTGAGTTCGAACTTTGAAAAGAATGATGGCGCAATTTTTAACAAGAGCCATTTGAAACAATGGGACAATTCCATTCATACCCGTGAAGATCCGGGTTAGAATTCGTCTTCTGCAACCCATACTTGTCGCAAAAGGTGACTAACGGGATCGGGTGGTCAGGGTCGCTGACTTGGTTGACATATGTCATCGTATCCCAGTTGCGTGGATCGATACTCATGCTGTTGATCACTGGATTGTCTGGTCCAGACTCGATTATTTACAGACCGCCGCCATATAGCTGGCATATTGCTGAGTGCGGTGTTAAACAACCAACCAACCAACTTCATTCATCCAGCCATTGCATAAGTGGAATAACGGTTACGTGATTTATTCGCGATTTAGTAAAAGAAACCCTTGTAGTAAGAGACACCTGACGGGATTGGGTGATCAAGGCTTGCTGACAACAACAGTAGACCCATCTGTTCTTACTTCAACATAACCAACAAGCCCATCCGGATCGCCCATCACGTTCTGCTGGTCCTTAACGTCATGGTGTTGTTTTGACCAACTGGCTCTCCCGTCAAATAAGCCTGCTGGGACCATCCATATAGTCAGATAAGAACACGACATAACCCATCTCCAAACAGAAGGGACTCAGCGAAGACCCTGGAGACAAAATGGCGCCGAATGACGTCACACGTCTAACGATCGCTGAATGAGGACGTGTGGGATGTCTTAGACCCCTCGTGGCGAACACGCGATATTGTCTGATCATTTAATATCATCCCTGCAGAGTGACTTCAATCCTGATCATATAGTATTCATTGTGACTCCAAAGGAATACTACAAGGGACACTCTCGCGATCTCGACCTTTGGAAACAAGTTAATTCGGCCCTAAGTGAAGAATGCCAGATTTTATCATCGCAAACTTGACAACATTATCCCGTGTTCTCGCGGATCTTGCAGTTTCTTTCCGGTTCATTAGTGCTGAACACGATTTCTCTTTATATATTTCTTTGTGTCTTTTGTCCAACCACCAATATAATTTGGTTTAATTCATTCTACCATATCATATCATATCAGCCATCATGAATATTTTGGAGAGATTTTCACAAGAGTCTGACATTGGCCCTTGTGGTTACTTTCGTCGAGCCGAAAACCGGGTTCTATTCCCCAGCATCACATTGCTGGAATATTGCTAAAAGCGCCGTAAAACAAAACTCATTCACTTTACGAAATCGTGTGATCAGTCGTCACCATAAAGTATATCCCCACACTTTTCACAGTGCCTTACGTCTGTTTTTCAGCATAGAACAATATTTGCAAAATCTTTGGCGTTCGGCAAATATTCTTTCAAAGATCACATCCCTTTATCTACGCCTGTTTGAATCATTACAATGAGTGGTTCTTGTTTTCCGGCAGTATGTTATATTGTTTGATCGGCATTCTAACAAGTAATTAAGCATAAAGAATCTACACTACCTTCAGCTTGAAAACGGTGTAAGATTCTATAGTCTGTTTGCAGTGGAAACGTACCGATGAATTTCACTTTAAACAAAAAGTATATCGAATAAAGTGAAATTAAGATTGTGAATCCTCATAATTTTACTTTGCCAATTGAACCTTTAAATATCGGAATTTTACCCCCTTGTAATACAAACCAATAATAGCGATTTGAATCTATGATCGTTTGTTGAACAACATTTATCCGAAGTTGAATAAAATTCCGATATTTAAATGTTCAATTGGCAAGGTAAAATATGAGGATTCGCCATCTTTAATTTCACTGTATTTGATTTACGTTTTTGTTTAAAGTGAAATTCATCAGTACGTTTTCACTGCAAACAGACTATACACCGAAACGCCGCTCTATGCAATAAGTTGTTATCCATAAATTCGTAGGCTATATATAAATAGTGAGGCTATATTCCCTATGACAACAGAAGGGTCAAGGAAACGGACAAAAGTCTTTCAAATTGATGAGATGGACACAAGTGAAACAACCGAATTCCCTCAGAATATTTCTGAATAGTAGCTTGATGCCAATTGGTATTTGGTTAACTGGAAACCGCCTTGTCATCGACCCAGAAAGAAATTCAAATCACGTCGCCCATGACAACATGCTCCAGGTGTGTTCTCAGAAGATGTTTCCGGTACGCGTGCTGGAGGTACGGTACTGTAGCGGCTTTATATTCAACGCTTGAGTCAGCAACCAGACTGGGGCTGATTAACAGGGTATGTCATGGGGAAATCATGAGAATCGGTTGGTTACGGAACTAGAACCAACGAGCACCGATTATACGATTACATCAAGACATGTTAGTGATTTCTCCGACATTACCCTGTATGGTTGCTTTATAGTTTTTCCATAAATTTGTAAAATAATATAGTCACTTGTTATGTGCACGTCCAGAGTGGCGCTTGAATTCCTGACTCATAATAAACTGCAATAATAATATAATAGCATGGTGTCATCAGAATGGATCAAATGTAGGAGAAGTGATTGTTTACTTGGTGATGCTCAAAATATCATTCGGGGCGGTGGGGTAGCCTAATGGTTAAAGCGTTGGTTCGTCACGCCGAAGACCCGGGTTCGAATCCCCAAATGGGCACAATGTGTGAAGCCCATTTCTGGTGTCCCCCGCCGTGATATTGCTGGAATATTGCTAAAAAAAGCGGCGTAAAACCATACTCACTCACTCACTCAAAATATCATTCACTGAACTGAATGGTCTTAATTTGATGATGTACATCCCGCCGTCATACAGGTTGGTTGTTGTTTAACGCCGCACTCAGTAATATTCCAGCTATATGGCGGCAATCTGCAATTAATCGAATCTGGACCAGACAATCCAGTGATCAGCAGCATGAGCATCGATCTACACAATTAGAATACGATGTGTCAACCAAGCTAGCGAGTCTGACCACCCGATCCCGTTAGTCGCCTCGTACGACAAGCATTGGTTACTGAAGACCAGTTCTAACCCGGATCTCCACGGACAATAAGTCAAAACGGAGCAAAGAATTGCTAATATTTACCATTTTAGTCTCGAAGAGAGTTATCGGTTCTTGTTTCTCTGATGTCCCAAGGACGGCTGTGCTCATGAGATTGTTGCTATAGGTACCAAGCATAAGTGTGATGTTAGTTTAGTTTTGAAGCGAACCAGGCCTACTCGTGACGAAGAAACGCCTTAACCACTAGGCTACCAAAGTACACACATACATAAATCACAAGTAATTTACAAAACATGACAATGCCTCACGGTGAATTTTATTTATTACAAAGTTAGTCATGTACATCAGCATCATACGTTAAGCTGGAAAGAAAAATAAACGATATGGTCTCTGGCCCGAGAAACTGTCTATTTTTCTAATTTTTCCAAATTCTTTTTCATGAGAGATCCTCCTTGGGGTACATATAGCATTAAAATATCCATTTTTTAATCCCTACGACAGTTGTAACTATATTTTTGTCTTGTTCGACCACCCCTACGGAACCCAGAATGGACCCGCCCGCCCAGAACGGGTAACTCTCGGCGCTAACCTCGTACCTCACTTTCCATGCTGTCAAATTTTTTAGTGTGACGTATTGTTATCCAATCTTGTTATTGCATAAAGAACCGAGCATAATGTGCGTATACTATTGTGTTTGTTTTCACTTTTTTACACTTTAGTAAAATCCTACCTGTCTAAATTTTGACAAAAGTGTGCCATGGATAACAGTGCGTCACATGACGCTGAAAATTTGGCGCAGGATCTCGTGATGCCCGAGAAACATTTCCATGTTTAGCCTTTGTTACTGAAAGATTTAGGACCGATGGTGATATCTCTTATATCAACCTAACGCCATCGTCAATATACGACGTTACCGTCAATATACGTCATGATGGATACTGCTTGGTCAAACAAATTGTACATCCATGTTTGATGGTGTCTAAATGTCAAACAAACAAAATATGGCTATTCGGTGATGATGAATATTTGATATATCATCATAGTTTTGGCTGTTTTCAGCCTAGTAATGTTTCGAAAACGTAAACGTATGTAAATATATGGTAAAATCCAGTTTTCAAACGTGTACTTGCTCAGCATTTGAGATAAGTGGTATAAAATCTATTATGATGAATATATATTTCATGAATGTACATTTAATTTACATAGTTTACAGTTGTGAAAAGAATAATGTTTTATACACTGATTAATTTATAACACTTTTGTTATTCCTAAATATATCGTAATAGAAAATGTAAGGATATTCATACTATCATGATAACTATTGCACCAATACCCGTATTAAAATATATAACAAAATAACATAGGATACACTTAGAATATGTGAAAATATACAGTGCTTCGGCAGCCAACACTGATATCTGCTAAGCCGTCGCCTACGTACTGTCTCAGGCCTAGTTTAACCTCATGTTGCCTTCAACGGTCTTAATGGTGCCCTTGAATATTTTGCAAGATTAAATAGTAAAGACAATTATATGAAGCTAACTACGCTTGTTTAAGTATAATAGGATATTTTATCATGACACTCTCAGGAAAAACTGCCAGAACAATATTTTCAATATGGCCGGCGTGGTAGCCATGTTTGAATTCAGATCAGAATTCTGTAAGCAAATTTTACCATATCTAGGATCATAGCACAATTTTACAACCTAATATATTTTGATGAAACTGATATTTTAACATTTTTCAGATTCGACACCTAAACTGCTTGTACATGTAATTGACTGATGTAGAATCCACTCTTGCATGATTTCTCACAAAAGATAGTACGTGTCAAGCAAGTCAGCGAGCCTGACCACCCGATCCCGTGAGTCGCCTCTTACGACAAGCATGGGTTACTGAAGTCCAAATTCTAAGACCTTAGTTGGGGTTTTGATAACGATAATTAACTATGCCTGTGATGATGTCGCGTCTTGTACCTCAGACCCGGAAGGGAACGGACTTGATTCGTGTTCCTTTCGTTCTTGCGGCACGTTCTTGCAAGGGGAGATAATATCGTAGAACAATTTCTTATAGGCTATCTTAAATCTGTTGTTCATGAAACCGTAGATGATGGGATTGCAGCCGCTGTTGGCGTATCCGAGCAGAATAGTGAACATGTCCGATCCTCGTTTGACGCTACTCGGCAGAAACACAGACATAAAAACATTGTTATACAAAATGGCAGCCAGCAGGCCACGAAGACGAAAATTACAACCAACAGAGACATGGCTAACCGGAACTCTTCTTGGCGCCTGCGCGCTGCCTTCTGGGAACGCAATGTTGCTATTTTGGTCCTAGCCTTTGAACCTTCGTCTTCCGGCACCGTTAGGAAGATAGTATTTTGGACAGATGGTTTATCAAGAAGGTTGGACGTCTTGTCTTTCTTGGGTCTTTTCAGTGATGGTGGTTTTGAGTTTGGTGCTGAAGGGAGTTGGGAGGACGAGCTGATACGAGATTTACTGGCACGGAAGATTCTTAAGATCTTGATGTAGCAGAATGTCATAACAGAACAGGGTCCCCCGAAACACAATCCAACCATGAAGAACGTGAATGAAACTGACGTCGGCCAATCACAGAAGCAGAAAGACTGTGTCGGTATGTAATCGTATATTCCCCAGCCAATCAGCGGAGGCAAAGCAAGCAGACCGGAGAAACACCACACACCTGGAATATAGAAGCACATGTTATATATACGATTGGTTAATTAGTTGGTTGGTTTGTTGTTTAACACCGCATTCAGCAATATTCTAGCAATATGGCGGTGGTCCGGAGTCTGCTGTGTGGAGTCTGATCCAGCGATCAACATCATGAGCATCGATCTACGCAGTTGCGATACGATGACATGGATCTTCACGGGACTCTGCGTTATTTTGGACGGAGGCGTGTATGTGTGTGTGTGTGCGTGCGTGCGTGCGTGCGTGCGTATGCGTAACTAACATCTTGTCTCTGAAATGAACATATTTTAGAGAAAAAAACCCAGTTCCTAAATTGTAATACAAATATAATGAAAGGAGACCTGAGACATTCTTTGTTTCCATTTGAAGCTGTCGTAATCCAGACTTATTTGGGTCCGCCACATATTATTTGGATATGTTGAATATAAACAGTTTGTTTCAGGGTCTGTATGACAGGCTATGTGTGTGTGGAAATACAATCAGTGTGTTATATCTGTTCGTTTGCCAGCCAGAGATGATATATGCAATTATATTTTTATATGACAATAAAATGGAACTGAAATAGGAACGTTTATAGAGTTCGTTATTTCCGTAGTCATTTTTAAAGGTACTACCTGTAATCTTACCAATAGTGAGTGAGTATGGTTTTACGCCGTTTTGGCCACTATGCCAGCAATTTAAGAAATAGGCTTTAAACATATCACTCATGTGGCGTGACGAGCGAACGTGTTACCCACTTGGCTAGCCCCACCGTCCTGTTATCAAGCCGACACGACGCGGGGTGGGGGTGGGGGGGTGGTGAGCATGCAGGGGTGTTATCCATCCAGTATGGACGCCGAAAAACACATTTTGTGGTTCAGGAGGGGTTTTCGGGAGAGTGGGTTTGGAATGGGGTTCGGGTTGGGGTTAAACTGAAACTACAGTACAGAATGGGGCTAGTGGCAACGAATGTCAAACCATGGCCACAGCTTTAGTGGGACATTTACAGAGTGATTGGGTGAATATTGTTTTACGCTTCCAGCAATATTACAGCGGGGAACATCAGAAATGAGCTTCACACATTGTGCCCATGTTGGGAATAGAGCCCGGGTCTTCGGCGTGACGAGCGAAAGCTTTAACCACTAGGCTACCCCACCGTCCCGACATTTACAGAACTCTATCATGTAATCATTATACAGGGTTAAAACAAAAAAATAACATTTTAATGTTGTAATATCACTCTCATGCAGCATTGATCAAGGGGAGTGTGAGTCTTTACGGAAAGGGGCGAATGGTCACGAAAGGCGTATCTCAACGATTGAGTGGTATAACGGTCCCTAGTCATTCTCCTCACACAGACGTCCGAACCCTTTACCATTACGAAGCCCATAAGAGCTCTCAAACCTTCACTGAAAGTCCCATGTCGGTAATCATAGGTCGATGGTCAAGTCCACTTATCCTAAATAAGCGATTGCGTGACCGACCTCTCTCTATAAAGATTTTCCCTTAATTTCACCAACGAGAAATACACGTGGATTAATAGAGATAGAATATTCTGTGAGATTGTATTGAGAGCCTGTCAGCAATTGAAGGCAATGTCAAGTGTTGTGCGCGCGTTTATGTTCATTATACGAATTCCTTGATTGAGGGCCGTGAGTGCATATGTTGATATTACTGTTATCGCATTCCTGGGTTCATATAACGCGTGTTGGCCGATTGATTGATTGATTGGTTTTAGTTTCACCTGTAGATCGATTTACTGTCGTCACTTCTTGTTGACGAGATTGTTCTGTCACGGAAGTTATTAATCTGTTGAAGAGTGGACCAATTTTTTTAAAAGGATATCAGCATTTTGTGCATTGGCAATTTGCTTTCAGTCATAATGTAATGTTATTGTTGATATACAGCTCAAAAGATTTAAGGTGAGTGAGTGAGTTTAGTTTTACGCCGCACTCAGCAATGTTCCAGCTATATGGCGGCGGTCTGTATATAATCGAGTCTGGACCAGTCAATCCAGTGATCAACAGCATGAGCATCCAAAAGATTTAAAGAACATCCAATTCTTTCATATTACTATAGTAAGTCGTTCATGCTACATTAACAAAATGATATGATAGAATGAAAGAATCATTCTTTAATTTCTTTTGAGTAGCATGGGCCACTAAATGCGTAAGTCGTAATTTCACTTTGAAATAACCGAGACCCGTGAAGATCCAGGTTAGAAATGGTTTTCAACCCATGATTGTCGTAAGAAGCGACTGACGGGATCGGGTGGTCAGATTCGCTGACTTGGTTGACACACGTAATGATATATCAACTGCGCAGATCGATGCACATGATGTTGATCACTGGATTGTCTGGTCCAGACTTGATTATTTACAGACCTCCGCCATATAGCTGGAATATTGCCGAGTGTGGCGTTAAATAACAAGCAAATTACACTAAATTGAGATAACCGAGATTACCTGGGCTAGATTTGAAACCAGAATATAGGTGTCTGATTATAATGTTTTAATGTTACGTTTTGACATATACGGCTTTTTCATTGGACGAAAGGACGGTCACATGACCTCGAGACAAAGGTTCATAAGCGTAGAGATTGTTCGCGACTCTGTATTTTTAAGTGACCTAAACAATCATGGACAAATTCTCGGTCAAATACCGAATTTAATACAGAAGCATTGTTTCAGATCATTTCGAAATTCCAATCTTGACCTTGTGACCTTGAATAATAATAGCTCCAAACGTGCCTAGAATACAGTGACAGTCATCGACATTGTACAAAATTCAGTGAAGTAACTTCAGCCTCTGTTCGACACCTTTATATTCACCTCTGAATCTGAATGATCGAGGTGGCCATTGATCACTGACACCTTATCGCCACCGATTAATTCACACAGAGATCATATAATATATGCCCTCAGCCGATAACTTCCTAAACTGAGAGAGAGAGAGAGAGAGAGAGAGAGAGAGAGAGAGAGAGAGAGAGAGAGAGAGAGAGAGAGAGAGAGAGAGAGAGAGAGAGAGAGAGAGAGAGAGAGAGAGACTCTCCATCTCCTTAGTCGCCTTTATATACGGCGGCGGTCTGCTAATACTCGGATCTGGACCAGACAATCCAGTGATCAACAGCATGAGCATCGATCTACGCAATCGGGTTGCGATGTCATGTGACAACCAAGTCTGCGAGCCTGACCACCCGATCCCGTTAGTTGCCTCTTACGACAAGCATGGTTTACTGAAGACCAGGATATTCACAGGTATAGATTCTGGAGAAACAAACAACACCCACCTCCGACCATGAAGACGATGTTCCGTGGTGTGTAGATCGCCCTGTACCGATGTGACTGGCATATTTTAATGTACCGGTTGAAGCTGATAATACCGAGAGACATGACGCTACCGACGAAGGTGATCATGTTGGTGAAGCCGGTTGCCGTGCACGTCAGCTTTGAGAAGTACCAATCTCCGTTGAAAATTGTGAATATTGTCACCGGCATATTTATCCCAGAAACCAAGATGTCCGCGAAAGACAAACACAACACGAGATAGTTCGACTCATTCCGTAGGTCACGTGATCTCAGGATTACGATCCAAAGAGAAATATTGCCCAACAAGGCCACAATTAATATTATTATCAGAACACCGCCCTCTATGGCTCTTTCCACCCATGGTATATCCAAGGGGAGATCACTCTGAGGGTCTGTCAAAGCGCTGGCATTGGTCATGACCTCGGCATCATCAGTGTCGTGTATTCTTCCTCTTAGAACAGATCAGCCTGAAATCAGCAAGACGACAGATTACGCATATATTCCCCGTGTACACTCGTCTTAAAAACGCTATTTCACACCACACTGCTCTAAAAATATATAATGTATTTCTCTCAATAATACTAAGCATCAGCTCTCAGAGAAGCTACCATATAATTTATTCCAAGCAATTGTTTACACTCCGTAATATTATATGGCAAGTGTTCTCTGTTTGGAAGTGTTCGAATCGAAGGTTCAATTTTCGATTCCAGCCATGTCGTAAGGGATAATAAGTCTTTTATTACATCAATAGAAAGCTAAATTGAGTGCATATGCCCCAATATATGTAATATAGGCCAAAATATTGTCGAAAATGTGGGACATTTCAGCAGGGGAGGTGAAGTGAGGTGAGGTGAGGTGATGTGAAATAAGGTGACGTGACGTAATGAGAGGTGAGATGAGGTGACGTGACGTAATGTGAAATGAGAGGTGAGGTGAGGTGGCGTGACGTAATGAGAGGTGAGGTGAGGTGACATAATTAGAGGTGAGGTGACGTGACGTAATAAGAGAGGTGATGTGACGTAATGAGAGGTGAGATGACGTAATGAGAGGTGAGGTGACGTAATACGAGGTGAGGTGACGTTATGTGAGGTGAGGTGACGTACTGTGAGGTGACGTAATGAGAGGTGAGGTGACGTAATGTGAGGTGAGATGACGTAATGTGGGTGAGGTGACGTAATGAGAGGTGAGGCGACGTGACGTAATGAGAGGTGAGGTGACGTAATGAGAGGTGAGGCGACGTGACGTAATATGAGCTGAGGTTGCGTGACGTAATGTGAGGTGACGTAATGAGAGCTGAGGTTATGTAATGAGAGCTGAGGTGATGTAATGTGAGGTGAGGTGGTGTGACGTAATGAGAGGTTAGGTGACGTAATGAGAGCTGAGGTGACGTAATGTGTGGTGAGGTGAGGTAACAAAATGTGAAATGAGGTGAGGTGAGGTAAAATGGGGTCTAACAATGCGTTCGAAATTACTGCAAACACAGTGACGTCCATGGTGTGTGTGTGTGTGTGTGGCGCGCGCGCGCGCGTGCGTGCCTGCATGTGTGTGTGCGTGTGTTTGTGCGTGGATGCGTGTGTATGGCTGCTTGTACTAGTCCGGATCAATGCCCGTGTAATAGTGCTCGCCAGCACAAAAGAACATGCAGCAGTATAATATGATTGCCCAATTCAGACACCAAAACTGACTCCAGGCCAACCAGTCCTTTGCCCTTTAATATTGATTCCCAGGCAGGGCAACAACATGCACCATCACGTAACGTCTGTTGCTATGGTGCAAACGGGAAATGAATCACCAGTCTTCAACTCTCTGTGTAAAGCAGGTCGGAATTACAAGCTGGACAAATCTATAAAGTTCGATAGTTTCTTATCGTCTTTTCTTGTAAAAAGCGTGTCAAACCGAAATATATTGTTCCTTTCAAATCAAAGAAATTTTTTTAAAAACTCCCCAAAACAACACTTCACTTACAAAATTGATAAAAGTAGGTGTAACACAGAGCATTCATCTGTCGATTTTAGAAATAATGCAGTGAGTCGGAAGAATTTACCTTCATCTTAACACCAGCTTTCCCGACATCGGGAAAACAAATGAAAATAGACTCTGGTCAACAGTATGTTTCTCCCAAACCCATGTTCGATCCGTCACAGATCGAAGCTACTGACTTCTTGAAATTATTTTGATATTGTAGGATTTTACTAAAACAATGATATTTTCCCATAGAATTAAACAATACAATATTTTTTCTCAATTTTTACAAAATAATAAAGATATAATCGATGGACAGGCGGTGTTTTCTGAAAACCAAACGTTTTGAGAAGAATATGACTGTCTAGCTCCTCACGTTAAATAAATACTGACTATTTGATTATTAATGATATTTGACTCAAACAGTATTGGATTCTGTTTCCAACATTAATCCCTGACAATATCCGACAAATTGATGTTATTTAAGCGCCATCAATCTGGAATATTGATCCGGATTAAGCTGCATATTCTACTTGACGACATTATATTCATCTGTGGTCTTACTTGCGATTAATAAAATGTCCTTAATATTGACATGGTATTTTCCCCTGTGTTTGCACATGATTTCCCGTTCCGTAATCTGTAATTGACTGCTCAATCCAATATCTAGTTACACCCGCAGATATGAAAACACATCGACATAAGAAAAAATCCAATATTTCTTGATTGCCAATTACATTTGAAACGTTCAACAAATCTCATTGCCTTCCATGGGCACCCACGCCGAAGACCCGGGTTCGATTCCCACATGGGTACAATGTATGAAGCCCATTTCTGGTGTTCCCCGCCGTGATGTTGCTGGAATATTGCTTAAAGCGGCGTTAAGCTAAACTCACTCACTCACTCACTCCATGAGCACCGGCGGGAGCAACTGATTGAGTTCGGTATTTGCCACATTTAACACTAACAGCAAAATTACGACAGGGGACACAAGACATGGGCTTAAAATTGTACTTAAATATACAGAATTGAACCCAGACCTTCGGCGCGAAAGGCGAACACTTTGACCACTAGGCCACCAAGCACCTGTACCAGCCCGATGCGCCAGCTATATGTCTCTCAGTTTCAGAGCAACACTCTCGAACGAAATTATCTCAGGATCAAATCACTGCCCTCTCAGGACCAAAATACACCCTTCAGGATATAATCAGTTTCCCCTAGGACAAATCACTCACCCGGAAAATGCTAAAGAAATATTCTTTTTGGTAAATGATATAACGCAGTATCTATACAGCGATTGCCATAATTCGGCGGTTACTTTTCGCTAGACAATATACATGTACTGGTCTTGGATATTTGAATGGCGGTATGTCTTTTAACTCACTCGATCACTTACTTTGAATGTCGGTGTACACTATGCCTGCAAAACATGACAGAAATGTACGTTGTAGTTTGCGAAGCACACCATGGAATTAGATCAATCAAGGGTCTCACTGACTTGGCGTCGTTGTCTGTCGTTGGAATGGACAACAACACACATGTTGCTGTTGACACAGTTTCAATGTCAGTCGCCCATGCATCATTCTGGTCCATTCCACTCTCCGGCAAATACATATCCGCTCTAGAATGTCAAGAGTAGTATTGGCTGTACTTCAACAGCTGGGCACTCTGCATCCTTATATTGTTGCATTGAGCCTCTGTACCGCTTGGGCGGTGGGGTAGTCTATTGGTTAAAGCGTTGGCTCGTCACGTCGAAGACCCGGGTTCGATTCCCCACATGGGTACAATGTGTGAAGCCCATTCTGGTGTACCCCGCCGTGATATTTCTGGGATATTGCTAAAAGCGGCGTGAAACCAAACTCAAACACTCAATCTGTACCGCTCCCTTGTTTGATAAAGCACGGGGAAGGCAGCTTCCATCACCAAGTACATGGTCAATTCTCGGGGTCGTCAGTACACGTCTATAAAATATGCCACGAATATATAATTCAGCACACAGGTGTCTGTGCCAGGCTGTCTGTCTGAGTTTCTGATCTAGACTTCAATTTCTAATTGTTTGATCCGAAATTCTCTCTTTTCTTTTCATTTATTTTTTCAGCTCCAAATTTTGATTACTAGTATATATCCAATTCTATCGTGGCTGACTAGAACCATAGCCAGTGATCACACTATCGTATAATACTGTCTCTTTTTCGCGATATCAAAGGGCAAAAAGTATTCCAGAAGTTTCCATACATGTTGCATAAACCTTAGTCTCTAAGGTAATTAGTAATAGTTTAAATGAAAAATTCTAAAAAATATAAATAACAGACTGGCGTCCTGTACTGTTCGCTTACCCAGACAAGCCTCTATAAAGGATAGAATTATTATACATGATCCATAAACTTAGCATTCTGTACAGCCTTGGAGCAAGGCTAGATAACCTTATGCTGCCCCAGAAGCTTCAACATTACTCTTAGCTGAAATATCTTTGAATTAATGCAATATCTGTGACAATACCGTATATATCCAAAAAGACATAACCATACAATGAGTGAGTGAGTATGCTTTCACGCCGCTTTTAGCAATGTTCCAGCAACATCACGGCGGGGGACACCAGAAATGGGCTTTACACATTGTACCCATGTGGGGAATCGAACCCGAGTCTTCGACATGACGAGCGAACACTTTACCCACTAGGCTACCCCACCGCCCTAACCATACAATGCATCAAACAGGAAGTATAAGAGGTGCCGTTATTGCGGGGTGTTTTATTCTACAGAGGGGGAGTGTCATGACCCCGGGCGGAGAGATTTGATCTTAGGCAGAAATCCCGCTAGAGTAATGGAGTCCGGGGGAGTGACCCGACCCTCCCACACCGGCGCCGAAGACGACTGTGTCACTCTTACCCTCGGGTACTGACAGTCGACTAATAATGATTGAATGAATGTTGTTTACGCCGCAATCAGCGATACTCCCTTTACTCCATAGCTGCCTGTAAATAACCGAGTGAGGACCATGGTATAATATTATAAGCAGTATCAACCTCTGGTGTGATGACAATCAACCAACGAGTCTGGACAATGGTATAATATTATAAGCAGTATCAACCTCTGGTATGATGACAATCAACCAACGAGTCTGGACTATGGTGTAATATTTAAGCAGTATCAACCTCTGGTATGATGACAATCAACCAACGAGTCTGGACTATGGTGTAATATTATAAGCAGTATCAACCTCTGGTATGATGACATTCAACCAACGAGTCTAGACTATGGTATAATATTATAAGCAGTATCAACCTCTGGTATGATGATATCCGACCAACGAGTCTGGACTATGGTGTAATATTATAAGCAGTATCAACCTCTGGTATGATGACATTCGACCAACGAGTCTGGACTATGGTATAATATTATAAGCAGTATCAACCTCTGGTATGATGACATTCAACCAACGAGTCTGGACTATGGTATACTATTATAAGCAGTATCAACCTCTGGTATGATGACCCTCGACCAAC